ACTAGAGATGACAGCGTGACAATATAGGAGAAAGTACACGATATTATGATATGATATCTTAGGGATCTCATTTTATGAAAGTAAAGTGGAAAAAAAAAATTAAAATTATATAAAAGTATTTTTGAGCATTATTTAATATAAATTCGCAGCTCAAAAGATCCAAAGCTTTATAAAAATATATTAAACAAAAATTATAATTAAATAATTTTTGTATGTAAAAATATTTTTATTCAGAAAAATATGTTACTTTTTTGTATATCTATATCTAAATAATATATTTTTTCATATACATATTCATAATAAAGTATAGTTGACTATATTTGTATTAAAATGTTACTAAAAAATAAAATAATGATATATTTAAAACAAATATGTATTTTAGTAAAAGTATACTTAACATTATTTTTTATAGAAATTTGGAACGTATAGAATAAGAAATAACATTAGTATATTTTTCAGAGAATTTCGAGTACTCATTTAATCACTAATGGTTTCTACTGTTATTTAATCTGCTGCGATTCTGCTATCGTTCACTTAGCATTTATCTGTCATCTGTTATCTGGCATCTGCCATCGCTAGCTGAAGGGCATTTTGGTTCGTGAGCGCAAAGGCGACATCGTCATTGTCAACGCTTTTTGGCTTTGTTTTGCTCTCTTTGGCGACGTATTGCTATGGCTACCGTTAGCATTACCATTCCCCATTCGGTCATTACTCCCCTCTCTTCGCCGTGGCCGTTGCCGTTACTGTTTTATTTATTGTTTGCGCTCATTTGAGTCAATTACGACAAACGGAGATTGTTAATTGTTTTGCTGCTGCTGCTGCAGCGGCCGCCGCTCAAGTCCAAGACAAACAAGTCACATCCTGTCCAGTAGGCAATGGGGCAGCACTTGGTGGACGGCGGGTCGGTGGGTCGGCGGGGCGGGGGTCGTTGGGCTGGAGATGCGCACTCCATTTTGTTTTCTAGTATTTATTCGTTTGCCTCTTTTGCCATTGTTTCGCTGCTGATGCTGCTGCGGCTGCTGCTACTCAGCTGTTATTGCTGCTTATTGTTTGGCTTTTGGTCTCTGTTGGCTCTTGTTTGTTTGCTTTTGGCCAATAAACGGTGTCTCTCCTCGCTCTGCCTCTCCCGGCTCTGATCAACAGCACGTTTAATGGCGCGTTGAATGTTACATTTGCTCAACGTCTACCCCTACATCGACACAGTCACCGCCCCCGCCAACGCTCATAACCCCTCCCTCTCACTCTCTCACTCTCTTGAGAGTCGCCTTCTCGTGCACGTTTCAACTGTTTTCCTTGCTGCTCGACTTGTTGTTGTCCGTGTCTCTTGCGTAAACTTTAATTGGCTGTCAGTTCATTGAGGTAAGTTTTAATTAATTTTTTTTCGACCATGTTTAACGTGAGCGCGTGTGTGTGAGTAGAGGTATCTCTATCACAAATGGTAGCTTCTTCTATAACCAACTGTATGCGAAACTCACCAGCAGCAGCAGCAGTCCGGGCAGCTAAGTGGTGTGTCAAGCTAACCACTCAAATGCTTTGCTAATTGTTTTGCCAACATTTTCGGAATTCTAGTTAAATGTATGTCAATCTTTGGAAAATTACATTTCTTCCATGTAATACTTGAACATAAAAGTTTCATGCGTGGGGATATATACATATGGTTAATGAAAGTTTCATTTATCATCTTGAGTTGGGTAAATTTTTAATTTAAGGTTTTTAAGTAAGTTTACGTTCAATTAGCTATTAGCTTAATTTGCTTTCAAGCCCGCCTATTATATATCAACCCATGAACAGATTTTCAAAATACATATATTTTTTTTACATAAAATTATATTACGATTTTAGGATTTATTACAACACGGGGATTTTACATTACAAAAAAATATGTCGGTAAATTCTTGAAAGTTTAACATTTTTTAATTTCGATTTTTTTTTTTAGTTTAACTTTCTTTCGTTTTTTGGTACACTTAATCAGATCGGCTGATTAGCAGAAATACTTCTAAATGCATTACTTCACAGTTTAACATAATAGATTTTGTCAATATGTATACATTCACATATATATACATATGTAGTTCCAAAGTTTTTTTTTAAACATACATTGATCTCAAAAATGGGCATTTATCAATTTTGAACTTAAATTAATGGTCCGCAATAGATTTCATGAATATTTAATTACTCCAACCGTGGAATTTGTCTTGATCCTATAAAGATATGTAAATATATTGAATATACAAGTTTTGAATGCATTTTCAACTTGTCCACTTACCGATTTGCCACATTTTCTTAACTCTCTCCCTTTGATGGGCCAGAAGTCTGTGCTCTTTAAATTCGGTAGGTTTTATTTCGCCATACTTATAGCTATCTGGCGGCCTTAACACTTTGGCAGCTTTGCGACTACGTCGGGTCGCCAAATAATCATCTAATTCAGGTAGCTCATCCACGTCAGAATTGATCTGCCTACGCTTATGGAGTTTCATGTGCCTGTCTTTCACACTGTCCTCAGTTAAATCATATTTCGCCTCTGGTCTACGACGTCGCGATGGGTAATCGTCACTGGTTCTTATCATATCAGCACTGACTGTTTCATTTGTATCATCTGTATCTTGAGCCATGATACCCTTGAGTTTTTTCGAAAATTCCGGAATTGGTTTCTTAACATCATAAATTAACGTCCGTAGCATATGACGTCTCTTTAGATAATGATCCTTCAATATTTCATTAGATTGGCGTATACGTTCAGCAGCCAATTGGTTCTCAAATTGTCGTCCATCAAATGGAACGCCATTTCGTGAATTTTCCTCATTGACCTGTCTGGTCGCTGAAGTTTTACTTAAGACATTCGAGTAATTTGGCACGCTATTTTTTTTCTGCGCATGTCTCTTCAGTTGATTACACGATGTGACATTGCGATGTGGAGCCCAACCTAAAATTGCAGTGTCTTAATTATATATATATTTATATATCTGCATCTGTTTTAGATAGCTACATTGACTAACCTTTTGGGAACCTTTTGATAAATCCAAACAAATTCAAACTATTAATTTTATTGATATTCTTTACAGCCATGGTAAGTTTCTTCGGCTACGCTAGTTACTATGCAATTTTTTTTATGAAAAATTTGTTGTCTGACTTGAAATTTTCTACAATGAATATATGTACATCAATCAATTTTTGCTAAGTACGCCTACTGTTCTGGGAAATAAATAATTTAGAAGTTTATGAATCGAATTTGTACATATTAAATCCATTAATTTTCTTTCGATGACCAGCGAACGAGTATTTTCTGCGAGCACTCAAAAAATTACGTGTATTGCCTTATTGAATGTCGACCGATGAAGAAAACGTTGCGCTTCATTAGCGGAATATTCCTAATATTGTCTAATGACTATTAAGTAGACCCAAAACACTGAAGTGCATTAAGTATTTTGTAATATTTAATATTTCATCTAAAAAGGTCGATTCACCTAAGTTGTCAAGACTTCAATAATCCTTAACCGACCATTCTAATGATGATGATGATGATCATCATCATCATTGTCTCATTGTTGTTGTTATTTTAGTAGCATGTCTTGGTATTGCACCCAAAACGTGCTGCTGTTGGTCCTACCTGAAGCGACTCGTTTAGAAAAATTGCTCACGCACGGGCTCGTTTTGGATAGGTGAGCAGTTGGGCAATTGAGCAGGTGGGTTGGACTTTAAGTGCCGACAGTTTTGTGCTGTGGCTTTCGTATCCTCTGATTTTGTTTACCATTTACCGTTCAAATTTCTCTACTCTGTGGTATCGTTCGTCGCCTAAGCGCATTAAAAGTTTTCGTTTCTTTTCGTTTTTTTTTTGTCTTCCTTCTTTTCTGTACCGACGATTTGCTTTATTTCGTGCACTTTATTGAAAGCACATCACGTAGTGCACCTGATTTGCTGACAATCCTTGAACATTCTAAATAGGCGGTCCGGCACAGGCTTAAGACTGGACTTAAGGCATCTACCCGAGCTGCATACGAAATTTGTGTAACATTTTGTAGTAGCTCCTTTTTAATTAAGATTAATTGCTTTTGGTATATTTCAGAAATATTTCAAAATTATTTCATTCGCGGACCGCAAAACATCAATTTACGTGACCCCAATGATGTCGAATATTATTGTAAAAGAGTTTTTAAACTCATTGCCAATGATAATAATAATGGTTACCCATTGAAAACGGAAATTCAGTACACAATGGTATTATGCAAATGTAACAGGTCGCAGGAGGCGCTTTTAACATTAATGATAGCGAGAAACTGCATAATAGGCTTTAGTATATTAGTCTTACTATCATTTGACAAATATTTGTTTAATGTGTAAAAAACCAATTGCTCTCACATTATGAGATAAAGATCACAGAAAAATATTGACGACGCTGAAATATCGACATTCCAATGTTTCATCTTTAATTGATTTCCAACAAGAACCTCATTGAAAGCCAATTTGTGGCATTACATATATATATATATATGTATATATATACATATAATTTAAAACGTAAGTTTTTCTAAATAATAATAACATATATATTTATTGCATATAATTTTAAATGCAACAATACATATACACATAAATGGGTAGCACTTGGGTTTGTACCCAACCTTGTTTCATTTCAATCGACTGGTCATGCCTTAGCTTAAGTTTGGCCTGGCACCCGCTTATTGAGCAGCAATCAACAAGCTACTGGAGTTCATTACCTTCATCAGCCAAGTGCTTTTGTTGACCCTGTTGTGGCAACGCATGTGAACGTCAAACAAAGCTGTGCATCATTTTGGCTAATTGGTTTGCTACATCCTTCAAGGCTGATACACATTGGGCATATGTGTTTGTGGGTTTCTAGACCTATATGCTGGTATAATTGAATAGATTTCACGTTTATTTGCGTTGACTTTCCTATCCCCTATTTCTGCATAATTCTTATTTATAGTTGAGTTGCTAAATATATACTGAAATGAGTTGAGAGGAACAATAATAGAAATTAATTATTGATAATTATTATTTATTTTGTATTTATTTTCTTTTTAATTAGTTACAGAAAAGAATTTTTAGTTATATGTCCATATATGTTCAGTTAGCATTGTTCAAGTCCAATGTCGTAATCTTACGCGAGTATCTACACATATGATTGTGAAGTATATCTTCATGGCAGGGTGTGAGTACTCCTCGAGCCTCCTGCATTAGCATGGATAACAGCAGCATTGTGAGCAGCACGTGGTACAGCAGGGGCTGCAGCACGCGTTGCAACACGGACTGCAAGAACACATATAGATGGGATTGCTGCAGGGGCTGCAACACAAGCTGCAGCACGAACTGGAACACGGACTGCAACACAGCCTGCAGCAGGAGTCGAAACAAGGAGATCACATCTTGTCTAGAATTAAATTAAATTCGAATTGTAATAATACATATTTACAAAACTTACCCATCGAGGAACCACTTCACATAACTAGGCATACGGCATATTTGCTATCGAATTGTGCGCGTATTGATTCGAGCGTTAAAACATCTCTTCGGGATTCACACAAAAACGATCTCACAAATGTTTAACTACTCAAAAGACTAAAACCTGCAAGAAGCGTTAGCATATTTTAGTCAAATATTTTATATTTATTGAATTACTTACATGCTTACGGACAATCAAAAAGTATCACACAAACACCCAAGTACATGTAGATGTTTATGGAGCGGCAGTCCAAATAATTGTGTATGAAATTTGTTGTGCTATGCCATAAAGTTGAATGCCTCATGTCAAGGCTTGCTTATCAGATGACTTTTTGTAACAGCCTTTCAACTGTGAAATATGTATACTTTGACGAGTATGGAAATGGATTTCCGTTCCTAAAATAAAAAAAATATTTTATACTTAAATTTTGTTGACCTATGTAAAGTTAAATTACTGTCAGCAGTAATATATAGCCAAGAAACTTTTCTTTTTCGAACTGATAAATACAAAATTATTATTATTATTATTATTTATTTATTAGATAATATAAAAAAATATAAATCTAAAAATTATTAAACGTACTAGCTACGAGGGCCATCGACGTGAATGTTGGAAGTTAAATTGGATGAAAAATATTACAAAGATTTATAAACTTAACAATTAAATTAATATTTACAGATGTGGGTTCGGTAAGTAGTGTGGTAGGAGGTGTGTTGCCGAAGAGTCTTATCCTCTCCCGTTGGTAGGTTGGGCATTGGTCAAGTATATGGTCTACCGTTTTACGTGTGTTGCTGTTGTTGTTACAGCTGCAAAGAGGAGGGGCAGAGCCCGTAAGTAGGTGCCCGTGTGAAAATTGTGTGTGTCCAATACGCAGACGAACAAAAGTTGTCCACTCCTGTTTTCGGGTATTGGGGGGATATTTGCTGCCAAGTCCAGTAGCGTTGTACATTTTGTAACGATGGTGGAAGTTATTCCAGTCGCATGATGTTATGTTGGCGTGCCGAATAAGCTGTAAGCGGATGTCAGTCTCAGCTAATGGAATATGCATGATTGTTGGGGATAGTGCAACTAAATTAGCTGCTGTATCCGCGTTTTCATTGCCAGAGATTCCTTGGTGACTGGGTACCCAAATAAGCACAACATTGTTTGCGATGCATAGGCTGCGGATGTCACTGATAACATCGTTATAGCAGTTGAGGTTTTGTACTGCAGTTAGTGTGGACAAACTGTCTGTGCAGATAATAAATTTGCCTTTGTTTTTCTGAGCGAAATGACAAGCTTTTAAAACAGCAAAAGCTTCTGCCGTGAAGATGGAGTAGTAATTTGGAAGTAGGCCGTGGGCTATGGTGACATTTTGATTACAGACCACTGCAAAGGATGTGTAGTCTCCAGCTTTCGAAGCGTCTGAGAACAGCCAGGTCCGGTTTCGGTATTTATCTCTTTCCTGACGATAAAGTTGCTTGAAAGTATCGCTGCTGGTGTTCTTCTTTTTATGAGCGTGGATGTCGAGATTGATATTAACATCTTGCAGTAGCCAAGGGGGCTTGCATGGTGGTTTCTTGGGATGACATGGTATGGGGATATTTGACTTGCGTAGGATAGCTGCACATCTTCTTATAGTGGACATTGTTTTGTAATTTTTTTTGGCTGCAATAGCGCTCTTGAAGCATTTTTGTAGTAAAAAATTTGGCGTGGTGCAGAGTTTGGCTATGAGTTTTGTTGTAGATACCACCAACCTATCTTTGATAGAGGGCAGTCCAGCTTCCGCAAGGATACATTTGATCGGTGAGGTTGGATACGCATTAATGCTACGCCGGACAGCTGTGTGGTATGGAGGCATAATTTTTTTGAGGGTGGAGTCGGAGCAACAACCGTAGATTGGCAGACCATAATCCAATTTGGAGAGGATAAGAGCTTTTGTTATGTATGTTAGCGTGTTTATATGAATATTTGAAAATTTTGAACTTAAAAATTTAATAATATTTATTCTAGATTCTAAGTTGGATCTTAATTCTAGGCAGTGTTGTACAAAATTAAAGTTCTTATCGAATACAATTCCAAGTATTTTTAGGCTATTAACTAATTCTATGTTATTATTATTAAAGGATATTTGTCCAATGGAACAATTACGCTTTCTGCAAATATGCAGTAATTTGCATTTTTCTATTGAGAGGGTGGCACCCGATAAGTCTCCCCACGTTTTAATATCATTAAGGACTCGGCTAAGAGCGTTATTGGCGGCAACAGTGTCTTTTATCTTCGTATAAATGATAGCATCATCTGCATATGCTGTGAGTTTTATATTTTTGTGATTACGGACAATCGAGTTTAATTTTTCAAAGGCGATTATAAATAAAGATACCGAGAGTGGGGAGCCTTGTGGGATACCGTTGTATAGGCAGTAGGTATTTGATAACTTATTATTAACTCGAACTCTAAAGGAGCGTTGAGCCATAAAGGCCTTTACTATATTAAAGACCCTTGGACCAACTTTCCATAGATCAAGTTGATTAAGAACAGCATGAATACCAACGCGATCGAATGCCTTTTCAAAATCAGTTCCCAAAATGGAGACATGATTTTTTTCTGAAAGGGCATCCGACACGAAATGATGGATCTGCAGGAGAGAGTCGATCGTTCCGTGTTTGCGTTTAAAAGCATTTTGATTGTGGGAAATAAGATTATTTTTTGTGACGAGCCACATTAGGCGGCGAGAGAGAATTTTTTCAAAAAGCTTGGCAAGGCAGGAGAGAAGAGATATTGGACGAAAGCTATTAATATGATGCGCAGGCTTCTTTGGTTTCGGAATAGGTAACACGATTGCCATTTTCCATGTGTGGGGGTAGGAACCGTTGTGTAGCATATCGTTATAGATATTAATTAACATGAGTTTAGCGTTATCAGTGAGGTTTTTGATGATAGGGTATGAGATGCGGTCGAAGCCGGGTGTTTTACCTTTAGAATGCACAAGTGATGCATTCAGTTCGGATAGGGATATGTTTGACTCTAAATATTTAGCTTTAGGGTTAACACTAGTAGGGGTGTAAGTTCTATTGATTGTCATGTCTTTATTAAGAATATATTCGGGCGAAAAGTTATTGTCTTTGGAAAGATTTGACCACATAACGCCGAGCGCTTCTGAAATATCTTGTGCAGATGTTAATACAAGTTGGCCAACTTTAAGGCTTTTCAGTGGTACGCTGGGCGAGCCAGTTAGACGCTTTACGTCAGTCCAGATTTGGGTCATGGAGGATTTTGGCGAGATCCGGGATGTGAAGTTAAATAGAGCTGATCTTTTAGCGATTTTCGTTTCTCTTTTGAATAATGCGTTGGCTTTTTTATAAGCAATTAGGTTAATGGTATTCATGTTCCGCTTAAAGATCTGCCACAGTTTTTGTTTTTCATCGCGCAATTTTTTTGTGTCCTTATTCCACCAGACAGGGCTAACTCTAGGGGGTATACCTTTAGTTTGGGGGATAGACTCATTTGATGCCTTGCGAATGGCTTTGGTTAGCTTGGCTACGCCATGATGGATGTTGACATATGAGCAATCTGTTAAACTGGAAGAAAGGCTTGACTTAAATTTGTCCCAATTTGCTGCATCAGTTTTGTATTTTGCGGTGGGAATTGTTTTTTCAGGCCGAAATTGTGTGATAATATTGGTTATGCTGGGGAAGTGGTCGCTGCCGTGTAAAAACTTATCAATTGACCAAGAGCACCGGTGTAGAATATCAGCTGAAACCAGGGTAATATCAACACAAGTAAAAGTGGAGTGGGTTGAGAAGTGGGTTGGTGATCCATTATTTAAAACTGAGAGATTTGATTGGGAGATAAATTTTTCCACTTTTTTGCCGCGTGCGTTTAGGCATGCAGATCCCCATAGAGGGCTCCAGGAATTAAAATCTCCATTAATTAGTAATGGAGTGCGAATATTGACAAGTAAACCCAAAAGGTCGTTTTCATGAAAATATTTGGTTGGTGGTATGTATACATTGATTAGAGCAATTTTATTGTTGAGATCTAATTGGAGAGCATCACAGAGAATGTTACTCCTAATAGCGATATTTTTGTGGGGAATGTGGCGTTTAATTAGAAAGCAAATGCCTTCTTTTTGCATGGAACTCGAGTTTTTAAAATAACCAATATATGGTTTAGGGAAAATTATATTTTTAGCGGTGTTAGCTAAGTGAGTTTCTTGTATGCACATAACATCTGGGTTTTTTTCTTTAATTAATATAATAAGTTCATGGTAATTATTAATATATCCATTTATGTTCCAATTTAGAATTTTAATAGACATTGGGATATAAAAGAGAAGCAGATGTTATGTGTAGAAGGAATTATGATAAGAGAAGTAGAAGTTAAGAGGAAGAGTCATCCATTGACTCGTCCGAAACTGTATTAATCGATTCAAGACTTGGGGGCAAAAGAATTGCCGAATTTATTTCATTTGTTTGGTTTTGTACGTATGTAGATCTGGAATTAACTAGATCATTATTATGCTGTGTGCTTTGGTTAACGGTAACTGTTTCGCTATCGTATTGTTTGTTTTGTTTTGGTAAGTAAGTTTTTGGTGTTGAAGTGGAGGGGGGAGATAGGGGAGATGAAAGAGATTTTTGGTTGGTATTTGTCTGCATTGACTTTTCGTTTACAGTTGTAAAGTTGTTATCTTTGTTTATGATGGTTTTTGTGTGTGCGTTATCTTTAGCTTGCGTGGAGATCGCAGAGGCGGCTACTTTGGCGAAAGATAAAGAAGTGATAGAGGGGCTGATTTGGTTAAGCAATGTTTTGGCTTCACGTATGCTGCACTTATTACGAGTTTTAATTTTCAGAATTTCTCTTTGTTCAACATATTTATTGCACGTAGGCGACGAGGCGGGATGGCCAGCACCACAATTTGCGCATTGTGTCCGGGAGCATTCATCGTTAGGGTGGGGTGGGAGGTTACAGTTAACACAAATAGCAGAATTTTTGCAATGTTTAACAGTATGACCGAGAAGTTGGCAGTTTTTACAACGCATAGGGTTCGGAATATACTCCCTTACCTTAACATTATTCCAGGCAATAGAAAGTTTGTTTGGAAGTGTAAATAACTCGAAGGTGACTAGTACCACACCGGAGGGTTTAACTTTTCCATCGAATTTTTTGGTAAATTTGTATACTGAGACCACATTTTGAGGTTTTAATTCTTGTACAATTTCTTCTTCTGGTACATTATTGAGGAACGGAGCGTAGATTGTGCCCTTTATATTATTGAGGGAGTCGTGCAGTTTACAGTTAACCTCACAAATACCCGGTAAGTGCTTTGTTGTGATAAATCTATCAGCGACTTCTTTCCTTTTTACCAGCAAAAGAAGACTGCCATCACGTAATGACGAAATGGAAAGGACTTCAGGGCTAATGAGCTTTATTGCCCTATTTATGGCGAAGCAAGAATATTCAGATAAAGGTTTCTCCTCATTCTTAGCAGACAAAGTTATGTATTTGGGGTTCTGTGCGGGAGGTGTATTTTCGGGGAGTTCGGGGAAGTCAAATGGGATTTTTTGGTTTTGTCTTTTCTTTTTGGCTTTTGGACTATCACTTAGTAGTGAAAATCTGTTTTCCATTATGTTAGGTGGCCCCGGGGCCATGGCTGTATTATGCGTACGCAGATTTATTCGTGTGAATGTGACCGTGTGCAAAAGAACGAACAAGAAAGGGAAGAGAGAACGAAGAGGTGTATAGAAACTGAGTGAGACGAGCTTATCAGAACAGACAACTAATCGCGATGAGTGTTAGTCGAAGACTGAAAATACAAAATTATTTGGACAATGCACAATAAATGGAAAATGACATTCCACATTCAGACATAAATGTACATATGTGACAGACACATAAATTACATTGGTTGCTTTAGTTCAGAGATTGCAGTTCATTGATAGCGCGAGGAACTGTAAAGGCACACGTTAGCCTTATAAGTTAAAGAACTCGTATATAAGAAGCAAAGTTAAGCTAAATAAAAGTAGTGATTCTTGGTCGTTCGCTATGGTAAGTTCTGCTCACAAGTTCTTTACAATATCAGCATTTTCATGAACAAATTCATTAGACTCTTAGGTATTTGCTGCTGATTATCATCTCTCAAACGATTTCTCTCACAATGGGGGAGGGAGAGAGGCAGCTTCAACCTTTTACAATTCCACCAGAGTTCTGCATGTGGTTTCCGATAGCTCCTCTTTGCGTAACGACTCCCATCCCGAGCACAACAACAACAACAACAACAACAACAACAACAACAACAATAACACCGCCCACTACTACAAATCCCACCACAGTCAACAATCCAATACCGAATCTACCACCAGGGTTTTGCGAAACGTTCCCGTTCTTTATATTCTGCTTTAGCACGACAACTCCACTGCCCTTAACTACACCTACAACTACTACTACACCTTCAACTACTACTACACCTTCAACTACTACTACACCTTCAACTACTACTACACCTTCAACTACTACTACACCTTCAACTACTACTACACCTTCAACTACTACTACACCTTCAACTACTACTACACCTTCAACTACTACTACACCTTCAACTACTACTACACCTTCAACTACTACTACACCTTCAACTACTACTACACCTTCAACTACTACTACACCTTCAACTACTACTACACCTTCAACTACTACTACACCTTCAACTACTACTACACCTTCAACTACTACTACACCTTCAACTACTACGACGCCTTCAACTACTACAACGCCTTCAACTACGACTACGCCTTCAACTACTACGACGCCTTCAACTACTACAACGCCTTCAACTACTACTACACCTTCAACTACGATACCAATACCGACTCTACCACCAGGGTTTTGCGAAACGTTCCCGTTCTTTATATTCTGCTTTAGCACGACAACTCCACTGCCCTTAACTACACCTACAACTACTACTACACCTTCAACTACTACTACACCTTCAACTACTACGACGCCTTCAACTACTACAACGCCATCAACTACTACTACGCCTTCAACTACTACGACGCCTTCAACTACGACAACACCTTCAACTACGACTACGCCTTCAACTACGACTACGCCTTCAACTACTACGACGCCTTCAACTACTACTACACCTTCAACTACTACTACACCTTCAACTACGATACCAATACCGACTCTACCACCAGGGTTTTGCGAAACGTTCCCGTTCTTTATATTCTGCTTTAGCACGACAACTCCACTGCCCTTAACTACACCTTCAACTACTACTACACCTTCAACTACTACTACACCTTCAACTACTACGACGCCTTCAACTACTACAACGCCTTCAACTACTACTACACCTTCAACTACTACGACGCCTTCAACTACGACAACACCTTCAACTACGACTACGCCTTCAACTACTACGACGTCTTCAACTACTACGACGCCTTCAACTACTACAACGCCTTCAACTACGACTACGCCTTCAACTACTACGACGCCTTCAACTACTACGACGCCTTCAACTACGACAACACCTTCAACTACGACTACGCCTTCAACTACTACGACGTCTTCAACTACTACGACGCCTTCAACTACTACAACGCCTTCAACTACGACTACGCCTTCAACTACTACGACGCCTTCAACTACTACAACGCCTTCAACTACTACGACGCCTTCAACTACGACAACACCTTCAACTACGACTACGCCTTCAACTACTACTACGCCTTCAACTACTACGACGCCTTCAACTACGACAACACCTTCAACTACGACTACGCCTTCAACTACTACTACGCCTTCAACTACTACGACGCCTTCAACTACTACAACGCCTTCAACTACGACTACGCCTTCAACTACTACTACGCCTTCAACTACGACAACACCTTCAACTACTACTACACCTTCAACTACTACGACGCCTTCAACTACTACTACACCTTCAACTACTACGACGCCTTCAACTACTACGACGCCTTCAACTACTACGACGCCTTCAACTACTACAACGCCTTTAACTACTACGACGCCTTCAACTACTACTACACCTTCAACTACGACTACGCCTTCAACTACTACAACGCCTTCAACTACGACTACGCCTTCAACTACTACTACGCCTTCAACTACTACGACGCCTTCAACTACTACGACGCCTTCAACTACTACAACGCCTTCAACTACTACGACGCCTTCAACTACTACAACGCCTTCAACTACGACTACGCCTTCAACTACTACAACGCCTTCAACTACGACTACGCCTTCAACTACTACTACGCCTTCAACTACGACAACACCTTCAACTACTACTACACCTTCAACTACTACGACGCCTTCAACTACTACGACGCCTTCAACTACTACGACGCCTTCAACTACTACAACGCCTTCAACTACTACGACGCCTTCAACTACTACGACGCCTTCAACTACGACTACGCCTTCAACTACTACGACGCCTTCAACTACTACGACGCCTTCAACTACTACAACGCCTTCAACTACTACTACACCTTCAACTACGACTACGCCTTCAACTACTACGACGCCTTCAACTACTACAACGCCTTCAACTACTACGACGCCTTCAACTACGACAACACCTTCAACTACGACTACGCCTTCAACTACTACTACGCCTTCAACTACGACAACACCTTCAACTACTACGACGCCTTCAACTACTACGACGCCTTCAACTACGACAACACCTTCAACTACGACTACGCCTTCAACTACTACTACGCCTTCAACTACGACAACACCTTCAACTACGACTACGCCTTCAACTACTACGATAGCTTCAGTGCCTACAACTACACCTTCAACTACGAAAACAACTTCTCATGATCATCATGTGCACCATCACAATCATTATCATATTCCGCTGCTTCTTCCGAAACCACCCGCAATTCCACCTCCTCCGAAAATTTCCTTTCCAGCTTTACCGCCCCCTCCAGGCCTTATAGTTCCTCCAAAGGGTCCTGCCTATCCAGCAATACCAGCTTCGCCTAGTTTATCGCTACCATCACTTCCTGGTCTACCAAAACCTCCATCGTTTCCTTTTCCTCCTCCTCTACCAACGCCTCCTGGATTATCGATTCCAGCTCTGCCGATAATTCCATCACCGCCAGCCCCACCAAAATTACCAAGTTTATCCCTTCCGATAATACCATTTCCACAAATTTCTATTGACGTACCGGTGACACAAAAGCCTAAAAATTTACAAGACCCAGTCCCGCCAAATCAATCCGAATTAACAGCTATTAACCCCACTCCTCCTGTACTTCAATTCCCAGGTTTTCCTCCACCACCGGCACCATTTCCCAATCCATTTGGCTTACAATAGAGGTCATCTAATATTCTAATTTCAAGAAAGAACAAGCTGTAAACGTTTAAAAATATCAAAGCAGTTTCTCATTTACTTAATTAAAAGTTAACTATATTTTCATAATCTGAATTAAGTCATTTTGTTGTTATTAATAATTCCCCAATGCTATTCTGAAAATAATGCTAACAAGAAGGGCCGCAACTGCCACAGCAAGATCCACAAGGTGCATAACAAGGCGATCGGCCACATGGACCACAGGGGCCACATGGTCCACAACAGGCGCCAAAGCAGGGCCCACAACAGGGCTCACAGCATGGTCGTCGGATTGGTATAAGAGTGCAACCACCACCGCAGCACATATTGTATTATTATATCAAGCTCCTCACGGAATCAGAAATGAATACGACCTGTAGATATGTCGTCAATCTATCACTTATCACAGCTGCAGGGTAATAGTCCTCTACTAAATCACTGTAGTTGACATCAATGACCCCTATAGGACGATAAAACAAGAATCAATTTTAACATAGTTTTATATTTATGCATAAACTTACATGACTATAAAACAGTTACAAAGAATTTATAAATACGTGCTTATTGTATACAAATGTTTCATGTATACAAATGCAAATACGAATGACAAAATGTGTAAATTTTCCTGTACCTTGAAAATTGAATGTATCCAGGCCTACTATAGTTATTTTCTATATATATGTTAAAATATAGTATATAACAATATATCAAAATAAAAAAAAAAGCAAGCAAGAAAGCTTTACTTAGGACTGCTTTACTACGAGATTCCCTGAACCCTTTGCGGAACTGATATTTAAATATTTCTCTGCTTTTTTTCTGCTTACACAAGAAACAGCTCATTCGCACAAACACAAGTACACACAGACGCAAATACACTTTTTCGCCCTGAACAAGAATATATACTTTTGAGGTATGCCACGCCTTCTTCAGCCTGTTACATTTTCACAAAGGCATTATACCCTGATTATTGATCTATGCAAATTTATATTACTGTCAGCAGTAATATATAGCCAAGAAACTTTTCGCTTTCAAACTGATAAATACCTTATTATTTGGACAATGCACAATAAATGGAAAATGACATTCCACATTCAGACATAAATGTACATATGTGACAGACACATAAATTACATTGGTTGCTTTAGTTCAGAGATGGCAGTTCATTGATAGCGCGAGGAACTGTAAAGGCACACGTTAGCCTTATAAGTTAAAGAACTCGTATATAAGAAGCAAAGTTAAGCTAAATAAAAGTAGTGATTCTTGGTCGTTCGCTATGGTAAGTTCTGCTCACAAGTTCTTTACAATATCAGCATTTTCATGAACAAATCCATTAGACTCTTAGGTATTTGCTGCTGATTATCATCTCTCAAACGATTTCTCTCACAATGGGGGAGGGAGAGAGGCAGCTTCAACCTTTTACAATGCCACCAGAGTTCTGCATGTGGTTTCCGATAGCTCCTCTTTGCGTAACAACTCCCATCCCGAGCACAACAACAACAACAACAACAATAACACCGCCCACAACTACAAATCCCACCACAGTCAACAATCCAATACCGAATCTACCACCAGGGTTTTGCGAAACGTTCCCGTTCTTTATATTCTGCTTTAGCACGACAACTCCACTGCCCTTAACTACACCTACAACTACTACTACACCTTCAACTGCTACTACACCTTCAACTACTACTACACCTTCAACTACTACTACACCTTCAACTACTACTACACCTTCAACTACTACTACACCTTCAACTACTACTACACTTTCAACTACTACTACACCTTCAACTACTACTACACCTTCAACTACTACTACACCTTCAACTACTACTACACCTTCAACTACTACTACACCTTCAACTACTACTACACCTTCAACTACTACTACACCTTCAACTACTACTACACCTTCAACTACTACTACACCTTCAACTACTACTACACCTTCAACTACTACTACACCTTCAACTACTACTACACCTTCAACTACTACTACACCTTCAACTACTACTACACCTTCAACTACTACTACACCTTCAACTACTACTACACCTTCAACTACTACTACACCTTCAACTACTACTACACCTTCAACTACTACTACACCTTCAACTACTACTACACCTTCAACTACTACTACACCTTCAACTACTACTACACCTTCAACTACTACTACACCTTCAACTACTACTACACCTTCAACTACTACTACACCTTCAACTACTACTACACCTTCAACTACTACTACACCTTCAACTACTACTACACCTTCAACTACTACTACACCTTCAACTACTACTACACCTTCAACTACTACTACACCTTCAACTACTACTACACCTTCAACTACTACTACACCTTCAACTACTACTACACCTGCAACTACTACTACACCTTCAACTACTACTACACCTTCAACTACTACTACACCTTCAACTACTACTACACCTTCAACTACTACTACACCTTCAACTACTACTACACCTTCAACTACTGCTACACCTTCAACTACTGCTACACCTTCAACTACTACTACACCTTCAACTACTACTACACATTCAACTACTACTACACCTTCAACTACTACTACACCTTCAAAAACTACGACGCCTTCAACTACTACAACGCCTTCAACTACTACGACGCCTTCAACTACGACTACGCCTTCAACTACTACGACAGCTCCAGTGCCTACAACTACACCTTCAACTACGCAAACAACTTCTCATAATCATCATGTGCACCATCACAATCATTATCATCATATTGCGCTGCTTCTTCCGGAACTACCCGCAATTCCACCTCCTCCGAAAATTTCCTTTCCAGCTTTACCGCCCCCTCCAGGCCTTATAGTTCCTCCAAAGGGTCCTGCCTATCCAGCAATACCAGCTTCGCCTAGTTTATCGCTACCATCACTTCCTGGTCTACCAAAACCTCCATCGTTTCCTTTTCCTCCTCCTCTACCAACGCCTCCTGGATTATCGATTCCAGCTCTGCCGATAATTCCATCACCGCCAGCCCCACCAAAATTACCAAGTTTATCCCTTCCGATAATACCATTTCCACAAATTTCTATTGACGTACCGGTGACACAAAAGCCTAAAAATTTACAAGACCCAGTCCCGCCAAATCAATCCGAATTAACAGCTATTAACCCCACTCCTCCTGTACTTCAATTCCCAGGTTTTCCTCCACCACCGGCACCATTTCCCAATCCATTTGGCTTACAATAGAGGTCATCTAATATTCTAATTTCAAGAAAGAACAAGCTGTAAACGTTTCAAAATATCAAAGCACTTTCTCATTTAGTTAATTAAAAGTTAACTATATTTTTATAATCTGAATTAAATACCCCGATGCTGTTTTGAAAATAAGTATATAACAAGTAGGAAAGCTACAGACGAGACTGCTTGACCTCGAGATCCCTTTTGAGCAAACGATATTTCAATAATTTTTTGCGTTTCTCTGCTTACACAAGAAACAACACATGCACATATGCATGTGCACACACATAGGCGCATATGCCTAAATAAGCGCAATTGCCAAAGTACAAGTCCCTAGTATTTGGAATACGCCTTTTACAAATTTTTAAGTGTGGTTGTAGTTATAAGGGTGGGGGTGAGTTATAGTATAAATCAAAATTCTATAAAGTACATATGAATTTACATTTATAATTTTAATTACTAAAAATTTAATATGTGATTTATGATTTTCGATGTTTTAATCGATAACTAAATAAGGGGATGGGTTATAGATGGGAATATATAAATATATATATATGGAGTCTGCCACGCCACCTTCTGCCTGTTACATACTTTTCACAAAACCAATATACCATGAGTTTCTATTGAAAATGGGTTTTCATTTGCCTAAGCACTAGTTTCTAGCGCTGAAAATACGCCCTTTGCAAGTTTGTGTAAAAGTGGGCGAATTCTGGTAGTATGAATGGATCAAACTGCTACCACCTTAGCGGCTGAACGTCTTAAATGGAGCTCGCAAAAATTCAGAAAATTCGTAGATTTTTCTAATCACAAAACAGTTAAACAAACACGATTATGGATTAATTTATAAGTAATGTAAATAATAACAGTTTGTCGGTAAGCGGCGAAGAGTTGACGGGTGAGCATTTTAACTAGCGGATTTTGGCCCACATAGACGGTAACGCCCAGTTGCAAAATACCCTCAGAAATGCGCTGTTGGCTGCCAGCCGGTGAGGCACTGCTTCAGATGATTGCCATGCATTTGCCATCGCCCGTGGTTGTCCAGAAATACCACAGTAGTTGCAAGAACTGGAGGCCCTATTCCAGCAGTCTCATTATCCGGACGTCTTTCTGCACGAGGAAGCTGCGCTGCGCATCAGCGTCAGCGAGTCGCGCATCCCGGTGTGGCTCCAATGGCACGCGGCAAACGGCGGCGATGGCAACAGTCAAATGCCAGAGAACTTCTCTGCTGGCAATACACCGGACAACAAGGATGCCATGATCATTAGCGATGTGGGCGGCATTGATGTGCCAGTTGCACTGGGCAATGGACAGAACGCTAGTAACTTTACCATGGTGCATCCAGCTTTCCAACAGCAACAGCAACAGTCAAGGCAATCCCAGGCCGAGCTCGAGAAGCTATCCAAAATGGTTATCGGTATAAGTATTTATAGTAACAATTTGATGCCAACTTATTAAAAACCATGCAAATCTAGGTAGGGGGAAAATGATTATGAACTCATTTTATACAACATGCGACTTACCCAACTTATAATACCAGTACCAGCGATAACTTCCAGTAGATATCATTTTGCATTGTGCTCTGTATCCCTAGTGTGAAGAGCAATCTATCCTAATTCCAACATATGGCTAATCTTATTTAATGATTATATTTAACATTCATGAAAAACCTATTTATAAACACAATTATTTTATTAATTGAAATGATTATCTCAATCGGATACTTACAAAACGAGTAAACATTATAAACGTAATCGAAATGAGTAAGTTTTATGTATTGGTGCCACACAGTGAGGAACTAACGAATTCTGACTAACAATTATTGGAAGAAGTGCAAGAAAAAATCCACTTGTTTTATGTAAGTATTTAAATAACGAATAAGCCAAGCAATAGGTCTAGTGAATTTTAAAATCCAATTTTAGCCATTTTTTGGAATTAAGATTTACAAAAAAAATTTTGAGCAACATTTAAAATTTTTAAATTATTATTTTTTTTTTCCGAAAAAGATGTGGACCTAACAAAGTCTAGTTGAATAATGATAAATTTATTCTATTCGGTTCCAAGCCAAGGCAACTAGGACATGTAAAAGTCAGAGGTAGCTGAGATTTATAAAATTGGGAGAGAAAATTTTTAAATAGGGACAACGAATGTTATAATAATAATTTGTAGTACAACATTTTATTTTAATGACTAAAATAAAAAATATTTTACGATTTGCCAGACCCTAAGGAGCGAGCTATAAAGTTGACAGACATGTTGCATATCATTCGCCTCCTCGAAGATATAGCCCTATATTTATACTCATTCACGAAAGTGAATCAGTATATTGGTTTTGTGCAATGTCCGTCTTGCTGTCCGTCCGTCTGTCCGTCTGTCCGTCCGTCCGTCTGTCCGTCTGTCCGTCTGTCCGTCTGTCCGTATGAACGCAATCTATTTCGGCGCTTTTGAAGCTAGAGACTTGAAATTTGGAACACATACTCGTGTATATCTCCGATTTATAAAGTGTTAAAATTTTCCCGATCCGCCCACTAGGGGCGTGGCAAATCGGAAAATGCATTTTCCGATATACCAGAAATCATGTTTGTTGAAGAGCTAGAAAGCTGAAATTTGGTATGTAGGTCCGCGTTGACCACCCAAGATCACGAGCTATGGCGGATATATCTACGCCCATTGGGGGCGTGGCAAATCGGATAAAACTGTATCTCCTAAAGTTGGAAACCTAAAGTGCTGAAATTTTGCACGTCAGCTAATGGTATGATTCTATAAAGTCTGAAGATAAATTATAAGTCTACGCCCATTGGGGGCGTGGCAAATCGGACCTGAAGATATAGTGATTTTTTAAATTCTCCTATATTTTGGACACTATTGATGGCAGAGACCTCAAATTTTGTATATATACTCGGACTGATCACCCAAGACCAAAAAGTTTTGTCGGATATATGTCCGCCCACAGGGGGCGTGGCAAACCGCAAAAGTTTATATCTCCTAAAGTATAATAGCTAGAAGCTTCAAATTTGGATAGTTGAGTTACTGGTAGCATCCTCTATCGATTCCCCAAAATTTTTACGCCTCCTTAGGGGCGTGGCATATCGAAAAATACCCTGTAATTTTCACATTTTTTGAGGGTAAGCATTCAAACTTTTCAGTTAGGGTACCGTTATCTCTTTCTAAAAACTGACCAAAAATGAGGTGTCTACGCCCAGTTGGGGCGTGGCAAATCGGAAAAACCTGTATATTCTACAGTATTAGAGCGAAACTTAACTACTAAATTGTTGATGGGATGTGAATGAGTATTCCGCAGTCGGTAACGCCCGACTGCAACGTTCTTACTTGTTTTATTCTGCCCATGTGCAAGGAATTTCAATATCTGGCAGAATAAGGATTATTTCATGTCCATGCGCGAATAGGCGATACAAATTATACACACTATAATTAATGTATAAAATACTATAAAGCTTAAATCAAGTAGAGTCTTGTTTGTTTTCAGTATATTGATTAAGTAAAGGTGCTCAATTACAATTATATTGAACGTTGTTTTCTGTGAACATAAATAATTTTGAGAAGCTATAGACGCAGCCGAACTTGAAAGTCAGCCAGTTCTAACATACCTTAATCTTATCTTAACACAATCGTCCGTGCCAGAAACCGGGAACAATTGGGCTAGTAAAGCTATTGGCTAATGGCTAATAGTCCTTGGAATGAACAGAGGCAGGCGTCATAGTAGCCACACGACCCAGCACTGCTGCAGATTCCAATGTTGGCCGCAGGACACCACGTATAGTCTTTTTTATGTATATATAGTAGAATCCGGTTATAACGACTCCGCTTATAGCGTCTGTACGCTTATAGCGACGAAAATTCTGGTCCCCATACAAACGTTTATGATCAAGCTTATACGGTTATAGTGCCTTCCGGGTATAACGACGGTCCCTTGAGTGTCGTTATAAACAAATTCTACTCAATATATGTATATACTATATACAAAGACAGATAAAGAGAAATAGAAGAAAACACTGCAATTTGTAGCTCATATCTAATGCATTTACTATTTAAAGTGTACAAAATACCCAAAGAGTGTTAATAGCATGATCTACAGAAGGCACGACTACAATTAGCTTCCAGGCCATGACGTTTCGCCATAGGACCAGGTGCTTTGGGTGGACAGCAGGGGCCGCAGGGACCACACGGTCCGCAGGGTCCTCCACAAGGGCCACATGGTCCACAGGGTCCGCAGGGTGCTCCGCAACAGGAGCCACAGCGCGGAGTGCAGGGTGAGCCGCAACATGAATAGCATGGATTGCACATCTTGATTTGGTATTAGTTTCAATTGCTATACGATATAGCTATATTAGTTCAAATCGATTCGCAAAAATGTGCTTTTGGGTATGGAAACAACTATTGATTTTAAAAATGCTGTGAATATTTTCAGTTACTTCAAACAGGCCTCTCACAGTAAATACTGGAAACTTAAAGAAAAAAAGAAAAAAAAAAAAAACGACGATTAAACATAGGAATATATTTATATAGGCTCACTTACATGCCTAAAAATAGTCACAGAAATTGATATTGCTTAAAGAGCTCTTTTTTGTAGAAAATGCCAAAAGTGTATGTAGAAAATTTGAAAAGTTTTTGGCAGTTCTTCAAATTTTTACTATCAAAGCCTGCTTTCTAGAAGTTTTTAGAAATAATATTTGAACTTATTAATAATATAATTAATTACAATTTTTTTTTTCTATTGCTCAGCAAATTTATCAATATAATCTTGATATATGAATATAAATATTGAAATGGTTTTAGCTATTAAAGTAATCTTAAATTTAGTATTTGTACCTGTTATGTATAACCAAAAATAGAATATTTGGTTACAGATAAAAACCGATTCTTTTAAATGACAAATTAGTCAATCAAGTAGATAGCACTAAATTAATAATATAATAAATAAAATTCTGTCAATGAGCTCAAATGAAAAATAGAATTATTAACACAATTTTGACCAATAAAAGTTTTATTTTCATTTGTAGTTTTTATTTAATTTTTTTATTTTAAGTTGCCGTATAGTATTTTGCACAAATTCAATTAGAATAGAATTCATGTAGAATAAGAATTCATGTATTAATTAATAGCTCCATTTACCAGTCAGGATAGGGTTTAGGACCATTTCGTTTAAAGTACAAACAGTTGAAAGAAACATATCATGGCCGACATCAAATAGCTGGAGCCGCATATCGAATACCATAAACTGCACATCGTGAAACACTTCCAAAATGGGAAATGTAGAACACGACTTAGAAATACTGTGATTTTTTTTATAGTTAATCTTCAGACAGACCATATAGCGGAAAATCTAGCACTTGGGTAAAGACTATCAACTTAAGAGAATAGAAAAACAAGTATGAACGCTCTAGTCGAGACTGCTCGACTAGGAGATACCCTGAACCCTCTAAGCTGATATTCTAATCATTCTGCATTTTTATGCACACATACATACACATGCATCCACACACACGCATAAGCCTGCGCTCTGCTAACTGCGCAGTAAGCAGCGACTGCGCTTGGGCTGCGCTGCAGTGTGGGCAATATTATGAGAATTTATTTGTTGAATAATTTCTTTTGTAGACATAAGATCTTAATGAAACTTTCAGAGTGTAATCATATGATAAATATGTGTGTACATTCCAAAGCACAAGTCTCTAGTACTTGAAATGCGTTTTTTACAAAAAGTTATCGGATGAATTATCGAAAAAATAAAGCAAACTCGTACTGCGTATGGTACACACGAGTATGCATGCCAAATTTCAGCTCTCTAGCTCTTATAACTTCTGAGATCGACGCACTCATACGGACGGACGGACGGACGGACGGACAGACGGACAGGGCTATATCAACTCAGCTCGTCGCGCTGATCAAGAATATATATACTTTATGGGGTCTGCCACGCCTCCTTCTGCCCGTTACATACTTTTTCACAAAACCATTATACCCTGATTTCCCATTTTCAATGGGTTCAGGGTATAACAAGTAAGAAAGCTCTAGTCGAGACTGCTCGACTACGAGATCCCCTGAACCCTTGGAGCAATAGATATTTCAATAATTTTTCGTGTCTTTCAGCTTACACAAGAAACACGCACGCACACACACACACACACACACACACGCACGTACGCACACACAAACATACATACACACACACGCATACACACACGCATACACACACACATACACACACACACACGCATACACACACACATACACACACAAGCACCCACGCATAAACACGCATGGGCTGCAGTGTGCGCTTACTATGAGAACTTAATTGTTCAATAACTTTTTTTATGGACGTACGATCTTCATGAAACTTTCAGATTATGATTATAACATGGATATGCATGTAATTGCTAATGCACAAGTCTCTAGTATTTGAAATACGCTTTTTACAAAAGTGAGGGTGAGGGGGTGAATTTAAGGGTGGAGGGTAAATTTTAACAAAAATCGAAATTGTATAAATTGCATATAAGCATACATTAAAAATTTGGAGACTCTAGCAATAAAGGTGTAGAAGATATAATTTTATAACTGGTGTTCGATAAGGTTTTTTATCGATAAAAAAAGATCGGGATGAGTTATCGATTTTTAATGATAAACTTGATATGCGCGCTGTAATTACGGACATTTTAAAAAAAATTTGAAGTCTCTAGCTCTTATATCTTCGGAAATCGACGCGCTCAAACATACGGACAGACGGACAGACGGACAGACAGACAGACGGACAGGGCCAAATCGACTCAGCTCGTCACACTGATCAAGAATATATATACTTTGTAGGGTCTGCCACGCCTCCTTCTGCCTGTTACATACATTTCAACAAAACCATTATACCCTGATTTCCCATTTTCAATGGGTTCAGGGTATAAAAAGTAGTTTCCCAAACAGCTTATCCAAAAATAATTAAAGAAATTCTTTAGTTATTTCCCGTGTTCTTTTTACTATACAATTTCAGAAGCTGATGGCGCTTTCTTAATTCCCAATATCTACGACACAGCCCAATTAAGATAGTCTGATTTGGTGTCATCAATTTGCTATTTATTTCATATACAGTTACAAAGCAAGAGGTCTACCTAAAATTTTTTTTTTTTAGCGCTGCATATTTCTTAAATTTTGTTCCGAAGATATATATAAGAAAAATAGTTAATAACACGATCTACAGAAGCCAGGAGTACATTTCGGTTCAAGGCCATGTCGTTTATAGCAACAAGGGCCGCAGGGACCACAACATGGACCACATGATCCACAGGGACCGCAGGGACCACAGCAGGGGCCGCAGGAACCGCAACATGGATAGCACATCTTGGCAGATCGATAAGTTTTACTGTGGGCAACTGACTATATCACGATTATTTATATTTTATAATTGAGAGTAATGGATTGCAGTAGTACGAACTTTTAATCTTTTTAGATAAGCAAAACAACGTTTGATTTTACAAATACTGTGATTATTTTCAGCTGTTTAGTCTTTGAAAAGAAAAACAATATAAAAATGAATTGTTTTTTTAATATTAAATACTTTTTTTTTTTTTTTTTTTTACATGCTCGAAAATAGTCACAGATATTCGGTAACTGTATACTGAGCTCCTTTCTGATAGAGATTATATAAAACAATGAAAACAAATCATTTGCTTCTGGCTAGGCTCTCAAATTTCCATTTCAAGGCCTCCTTTGAGGACTTACATTGCCAGTTAAAAATAAGTTATAGTGTCCGATTAGGAAATATCCTAAATCCTATGTAAACATTTTGGTAAGCAATTGCATAAAAACATAGTATTATGCGCATTATGGCTTTTACTGGTAATTGAATAAGATTTGCGGAAAAGAATATTTCTTCTTTAAAGTTTTTTTTTTATTTATTTTTTTTTTTGATATCACATAGAAACTGCACAGTAATTTTAAAGTTGAAGCTTTTGGTAAAATTAAGTTGAGCTTAAAAAATTTACCTTATTGAAACTGTCCACAGGAAGCGCGAGCATTAGGTGTGAGAGCAATAAGCAGTTCATGCTAGAAATTTGCAATGTTTTTGCAACATTTTTCATACCGGAGCCAAATTTAGTCCCTTTCCAATTTCGTAAAAAAACGGAAAAATAAATAAAATAAATAGATAAATAAAAAACTTAACGTATTTTGAATTTTATACGTATGGTTTGGTAAATATATGCAGGAATGTCATTCTGACATCCTGAAAGTATGATTACGATTACAAGAATAGGTACCCCCTAAAAAAGCTACCATAGCCCAAAATGCACGCTAACTGCATATTCAGCAGAACGCATGCCTGTGCATGTATGTGTGCGCATTTAATGCTTTATGTGATGCACAAAATAACGAAGAATTTTTGGATTATCGCCCAAAGCCCGCTTGTTTATATACATATAAATAAATATTCCCACAACAATTATTCTATTTATGAATTATGGTTTTATTTTCCTTGTCTAGTTTTTGTTGAAAAATGGCGTTGATGGTGCAGCGCCATTTCGATTTATAAATAATTTTGAAAGACACTGAAGGTTGGAATTCTTCTTCGACTTCTTCCTAGATTTCTTCTGTAAGCCGAATCCTTGATAACCGCCTCGACCATGCGATGTCAGTGTTAACTGCTTCTGCACATAGAATTTCGAATGCTTATACATACATATACTGATACAAGTATTACTTTCTTTGTTTACTTACCATAGCGAAAATGGGAAACGCAAAGGACAATATTCGCAAACAATTGACATTACCACGACGTTCCCCAACAGCCATAATGACAGCCGCCCAAGCCCCGACATGCGCCAGCCATTGAGCCATAGCTGGGATCATAGAATCCACTCGGGGCACAGCTGCCGCAGGAGCCGATACAGGCGGCAGGATAACAGGGCCAGCTACACATGGTGATTTGGTAAGAGCTACAAAATGAATTAGTTCGAATAGTTAATAATTTAATATATATGAAAGTAGTAAATTAAATTTTTACATTTATTCGGCTACACGAAAATAGGAAAAAATTTCTAGGTTTTCCAAAGTTATTTATTTTGTAAATTGTTTCCGAGAGGTTAAAAGGATGATGTTAAACTGAATAAGGGAGAATAATTCACACAAGCTGTTCGAGTAGTCTGAGTGACTGAGACGTCAGCAACTGCTTTGTTCACGAAAATAATTCAATTTAAAATACCAGATCTTCAAATTTCTCTCACAATTTTAATTAAGTTCTTCACATGGTTTTGTACACCTTACATTTAATGGCTGTCACTCTTAGGCTGACAAAATGTATATACATACATTTATAAGAAACACAATGAAGAATCTCTGCTTAAAGTACCAATAATTAAGTTAAGAACCACACGAATTAAAAACGGCTGAGGCTGAAGGCAAAATGTTGAGTGCATGAAAGACAAAGCGGAAATTAATATCACGCACGCTGTGCGACAGGGTTGAATAAATTAAATGATATTAGTCGCTACTTTGTATATATATATATATATGTATATGTATGTATATATGTATATGTACATATGTATGTGCTATATATTCTTGTGGCTTACGTTGTTCTTGTCGTTGCGCATACGCAGCGTGTGACCTGGCAAAGTCGAGCGACTTGTCAATGCTGTCAGACCATCAACTCAATAGCTGTCTCTTTCCTCTCTCTCTCTCTCACCCTCTCTCTGACTCTCTCCAAAATTAAGTGCGAAAATGTGCAAATTAGATTTTGTGGTTGACGTAAAGACTCCACCACACCCACACACACACACTTACACCCAACAATGCGGAGCAAATGGGACAACAACTCACCTTTAATTACAGCTAGTCAATGCGGCGTATACGCAACGCGGCATCCAGTAAGCAACAAGAACTTTTTGACACCACGCATATGAATTAATTAGCAATTGCCAACACACAGTCTGCCTGACATGCTCTGCTATTTACAAGCAGTCTTCCCCCTTCACTGACAACTAATATATGGTGCATATACGAGCATTAAATTAAGTATGTCGAAAGTAGGCGAAATTCGCTGCGAGTATGTCGACAATTTAATGCACTCGGAAATTTATTTAAAAATTATGAAAAATACCTACCGAATATTTTATTAATATACAAAATATATTTAATATTTTTATTAAAAAAAAAAAAAAAAAAATATAAATATAGGACTTTAATTGAATTTATTTTTGTATATTTATTTTATTTTATTTTATTTTATTTTTTTTTATTATATCCTTCATGTTTTTTAACTAAATTCATGTTATTTAACTAAAATTTAGACTTTTATATACTTATACATGTATGTATTCCTCATATTTATAAAATTATAATTATATAAAAAATTTAGCTAAATAATTTTTATTAGGGTTTTGTAAGTGAATTAATAACAACCAAGAAAACTTAAGTACAATTGTTAATACGCAACTTTACAAGCAATGCAAGAGTATAAATTATATTTCCTATTGGAGCATGCGTAAATTATAATATTATATGTAAATGCCATTTGAGTAAAGAGCTTTCAGGGTGAATATTCCAGGTAGGTTGGACAACATGACTCACTTTGATTGATGTCCAGTTAAGCGACAAATACCAGTTGAACCTGGGCTTGACAAAAACTTAAGCGGCATTAACCGCAGTTAAATCCAGTAAACGAATTCTCACTCCTGCTTTGCCATATCCTTGATAGCACTTGCATACAATTATAAAGCCATTAATGTCAAACGGAATGACACAGGACACATTCAATGTCCACCCACACACATACACACACACACCCAAGCACATTCAGTGAGCTGTGAAGCATTGTAATTGATTACACTTGGGGCCAGCTTCATTTGGACAGAACCCTAAAGACAAGACTCTGCATTTAAAAACTATGCTATGGTTTGTTGTAGGGGTAAATTATGGTCTGTGCGCGAGTGTGTGTGTGTGGATGTGAGTGTGCTGCAACTGTCAATTTAAAATGTCACAACCAATAATAAACAACAAGGCCAACACAAGCACACACATAGCAGAGTGAGAGAGTGAGAGAGAGAGAGAGAGAGAGAGACGGTGGCAGGCAGACATATTTATTGGACGCATACAATACAGAAATCAATGTTAATTGTTAGCTGAAATCAATTGTTTAAATTGCCGAGCAATTTTTGAAGTGTTTCATTGAATTTCCTTTTTTTTTCAACTCTCAACTGAATGTCAGTGAACATTCAGGGCATACCGGCTTAGTAGGATCGTATGTAACGGGCAGCAGGAAGCGTTATGATCCATATAAATAATATATAGTTTTGATTAGTATATATACATATATTCAAAAAGCTGAGTAGGTCTTGCCTTAGTTTGCTTCGCTCTTGACTCGCGGTATCTCTTAGTCGTTTACTCCCCACTAAAATGCTCTTACACTCTTTTACATATATGTTTGTTGAAGCACGCTTAAGTGTACCTGCTGCCAACAGATTTCATCTGTTTTTATTAAGGATCTGTTCGTGAAAGAAATCATTTATTCAATATTTAATAATGCATTTTAAATCGCTGACTCAGCGAGTTTTTTCTTCATAATTTTAAAGCAATTCTTGGGCCTCGAGTAGCTCTTCAAATATTCATACTTTTGGGTTGACTAAGAAAAGGTAATACTTTTTTTCGCTACTATATGCTGGCAGCAATTTGAGTTATTCATCAATAAAAATCCAGCTGTTAAAATATTTCATATCATTTGCTACTTGAGAATGAATTGTTTCACGTGCGGAAAAAATTTGAAGTTCTGACTAAGTTATTTAGATTCAAGCGACCCCATAGCAAAAGTATACAATTTTGGATTCTAGAGATATTAAATAAAGACCCTGAATCTGCATGTCATGGCTAGGGAGGTAATACACTTAATTAAGTTCTGTCTTTATAATACAATTATATGGTATATTATATTCAATATCGAATAACACAGAAATTAAAATTCTCGAACGAACTTTTTTCAAATGGGTAGAATTTTTGTTTTCGATTTATCGCGATTTTTATTGAGCAGGGTACAAATTATCTCAAGTCTCGACTTGACTGTGGATATATTTGAATTTAAATTATTTTCATAAATATGTACATTTAATATATATTTAATATAAGTGAATTAATATAAAATAAATATAAGTTTAAAGAGAGAGTCTCTTAACTTGTGAATTCCTGAAAATTTAAGATATCACAGACTAAATCAGCAGCAGTCGTATGAGTGCTGGCACTCTGAAATGGAATTGCGGGAGCGTCGTTATTGCATCGTCATTGCAGGGTATTTATTGGCTTGGCATACCATGCGGACAATTTCTAGTCGTAATTTCGTCTTCGCCCCAGGCACAAGTCAAGTTAATGCCAAACAATTTGTCAACAACTCGTATTATCAGATTTTTGATTGAAAATTGTGTATACTTTTTGTTGACGTTTTGCTGTGCTTCACTTGCAGTTGAGATGAGTGAAGATTGATTTGCCAGGGCAGCCAACAGACACGGTGAAAACAATAGAACTTGCAGCACAGTGTGCAGTTGAAGATGAAAATGATTGATTCGCCATAATGCGGCAGCCAGAGAAGGAGCGAGCGAAGCGTTTGGACTGAGCATTCACTCAAGAGTTTCTATTTGAGTTGAGTTCTAGTTTTAAACTGAAATATTTTAGTGTGTGTGTGTATTGCTTATGCTCGCTGGACTAATCATCAATCAATCAATCATATGAACGGCAATTGCTGCTGCCATGCATAAAACAAGAGCCGAAAGCGCTTCAAGCAACAAGCACAGCAAAGTATGCAACACTTTGTGCACAGTCTCTGCATGCCAGTGTATATGTTTGCGTGTGTGTGTGTGTGTTTGTATTTACTTTGTGTTTGCTGTACAACTTAACGGATCAGGCGCAGCCGCAGTTGCCGACTTTATCGCAGTCGCTGAATTTAATTTCAGCTGTCAATCAGCGTTCATTACGCGCTTTAAAACCGCATTTGAAGACTTACTAAAAGAAAATTGCGCATACGTCACGGCACAATGCCAGGTAAACACAAGGCCATTCACACACACACACGCACACAGTGATACTCACTTAAAAGAAGAGACGCCAAATTGATTGTAATTGACACTTATTGGACAGCAGATGCTCTGACAGAGTTTCGCCGTGCGGATTGCGAACCTTTGCGCTTTTTGTTTCATTTTATTTATTTTCCTGTCTTCTCTTAAATAAGCTGAGCCCGTGCAGAGCGATTGTCTTAGCAGAGAAATCAATAAACAGTAGTCTACCTGGAGGGTTAACTGTGAAAATATTATATAAATATATATATATTTTTTTTGTTTTTGTTTTTTTTTTAATATACATATATTAATATATGAACTTAGTTTTATCCACATTATAGAATAGCAATAGGAAATGGCGAGTTATCGACAGTAGGCGATAGTTATTCGTCGATAGTCGATAATAGTTTCAAAAAGAAAAAAAAAAAAACATTTAACGAGTACGATAATTATCGTGCTGATAATTATCTGTGTTTGCTGATAATTTTCTAATTCTGTACATTTTAAAATTGAGAAAAAATTAACCAATTTTATTTTTTTTATATATTTTTTTCTTAGCTATATGCATAACAGAGTTCCATTTAATAAATCTTTATACATTCAATGGGAAATACAACAGCTAGAAAAATTAAAAGAAACAACAGGAATCTATTTTGATTTAACAACCTCGATTGAAATAAATTGCCAGATTTTTCTTATTTAAAGCTGGAAAACTGTCGCTCTGCAGTTTTTCAGACAAGTATTGCAGACAGGAAAAAAAAAACCAAAAATAAAGAAGCAAAGAAGAAAAAAAAAAATAACAAAATAATCGACAAAGCGATTTAGCAATTTGAAATTTAGTTTGTGGACTAAAAACGTGTCCAGCATATTTGATATCTCATTCGGTTTTTTGTTAATGAAACCCAAATCGAACGGGAGAGACAGAGAGAGGGAGAGAGAGAGAGAGAGAGTCTAGAACATAAACTGTGTTCGTTGAATTGATTTCGTAGCTGCTCGGCTTTATGTGGTCAACAAATTGTTTTAAATTTCTAACAACAAGTTGAAGAACCTACCACACACACACACACACACACAC